CATGAATTATATTATTAAAATTATGGGATTTTTCTTGGTCACTACAATTGCCATCCAAAGTGTTTCATGAGCACACTGCTCGTATGTGTGTCATGTCATTAGAGGATATTCAGTTTTAGTAGGAGTTTGTAATTTTAGATGCTTCTATGATATAGACATATTTTCAGTTATTTTAGTTTATGGATATTTTGAGGTTATTTTCTGCAGAAATAAAGTTTTGGTTTATTCACACTCTGATTTTGGTATGGTTTGATCTCACTAAGGTTTAAGGTGGACTAGTTGGAAATAGGCATGTTAAGATCACATTACATGAAATTTCCATGCTACACACTCACATCATGATCCATGTCATTTAGTTGTATTGGCATACATGATCATTGATGGGTCGAGTTACGACCGTTGTAATGAAGGCCGCTTTGATCCTATGTTGGTATGATTGATGGACCGGATTGGTTACAGATACATTTCGGTAATGACAGTAAAGTTGAGCTCATACGGTTATTTTGCAAACCATAATTATAAGGTTACACATATAGCCCAAGTGGGAGATTGTTAGATCCTTAATCCAACGTTGGGCTTATACGTGAATAATTATGTATTGCGGGCTGTCATATAAAGTTAAATCCAATTAAAAGTGATCTACTAAGGTTTAGGTATTTTAGGTTTTAATGTATCTAATAGGGTGTGGGCCTTTAATGTGTAGAGACTTAAGGGTAATTTCTGCTTTTATGATGGACTAAAATAGAAATACCAAAAGATAACAGAGAAGTTATCTATAAATGACAGTTATGGTCCCCAGATCACACATTACATTCTATGCACTCTGACATCCCATCATTAGAGAAAGTACAGAGAGAAAGTTAAAGGGTTCTCTAGGAAAACGTGTTGATCTGGAAGAGAAACTGCACGACTTTAGAGAGAAAACAGTCAATATGGATTAAGGTACGCTTCTGCTTACAAATTTATTAGTTATTAAATTTATTAGTTATTAATGATCTGACATGAACGTTCTTGGCTTTTTGGGTGATGGTTTTCACCAAATTATTGATTTCTAACAAAACAATCCATCAAAGCCGAAGATAAAGCACGTGGATCAACAAAACACCATCTGTTAGTCAACAAAAAATTGCAACAGATATTGTTGAGCATGAAAAAATTTATACAAAGCAGCCATTAAAAAAAATTGAAAGAAAAACATGCACTCCAACAAAAGAACATAAAAATGCTAACCAAAATCGTTAATCAAACCGACGGAGAAGCAACAAAACAAAAATCAGAGAGCTCCCCACTAAGAGCACAAAAAAATTCAACATAAATCACAAATGAAAGCAGCGGAAGAACCCAGAAGAAGCCGATAAAAACCCCAAATTTCCAGGCAAATCAGACAAAAAGGGGCAAATGAAGAAAAAAGCAATGAAACTCCCAAATCTTTGCGCCCAAATGATACAAAACGAACAAAAATACTTAAACCACAAAGGAAGAAATCCAGCATTACGACCAAAACCAACCGAGAGAGAAGGATCAGACCGGGAAGGAAAAAAAAGGCACCGAAGAAGCCAAGAAAGAAATCGAGAGTGATCGAGAAAGAAAAAAGCATAAGCTCGTGGAATGACCAAAAAGCCTATGCCTCGTGATCAAAGGAGGGCTGACGACGACAGTGGTGGTGGTGCAGAGGTAAGGATCGGGGACGACGGAGGAGAGAAAATCGCTCGAGAGAAAGAAAGAGAAGAAAAAAAAGAGAAGAGAGAAAAACCTAGAAGCTTCTACGATGAAGCTTCCATTTCTTTAAGCTTATGCAAAGAGAAGCGAGAAAAACCCAGAAGCTTCTACGAAGAAGGAGAGGAGAAGAGAAGTGAAAAGAAAAAAAAAAGTGGACCACTATTTTTTCAAGGTCGTCCTTATTTGAGGAAAAAAGCCAGAAGCTTCTACAAAGAAGCAGAGAGTAAAGTCAATAAAGGAGCAGAACGGAAAGACAAAAATACTCTTACACCAGAAGAAGAATAGAGCAGTAAATGGAGGGTAAAGTATCATTTTACTGTAGAAGGAACAGTAAATTGGGCCTGCATGAATAGTATCCCCTAGCTCTCCTTTAGATTATTTATAATGTCCTATACCAAAAACGGAAGAAATCATTTTGTTATTTATAATTTGCTCATACAGAACAACAAGTCGTTGTAGTATAGTGGTGAGTATTCCCGCCTGTCACGCGGGTGACCCGGGTTCGATCCCCGGCAACGGCGTCTTATTTACTTTTTGGGCCAAAATTTTTATCAAATATAAACACTGTCGTATACACCTAATTTTTTTGTCGTATTCCAGTTTAGCTCTTCATTTCGTACACACTTCCTTCCCTTTCCAGCTTCTGCAACACTTCCCAGTTTTCCCTTGCGTGAAAACCGTGGAAGTTGGAGAAGACGAGAAGTTATAGCCGGAGAACACACGCAACATGGAATTCCAAGCTTCGTATCTCCGACACACAACCCAAAACCGAACGCAAACCAAGAAATCCGCTTCCACAAAATTATCAAAATGTTTTCCCTCCTTTCCTCCCAGTCTCCGCCAAGCTCCGCCGCCGTAGCCAACCCGGGAAACATGTCCGACGTTTCTCGCCGGTCCCTGACCAGAACGAGCATCCACATAATGGCCTTGGACAACGTCGTCAATGTCAACTCCCTCTTCACCCTAGCCCTCTTCCTCGGCCTCAGCTGGTACCCAACCACCGACCCCCGAACCACTCTCATCGGCGCGGCCGCCAGCTCCTCGGCCTGTTTCGCCGGTGCCGAGGTCGCCGAGGGCCTCATTTCCTTCCACGTCTACTCCTTCAGCTCCTTCCTGTTCTCCAGCCTCGTTGCGCTGGCCCTGAAGCAGACGATCAAGATCGGCGAGGTCGTTTCGAGCGGCGAGGCTTTTGAGCACCACCTAGGGCACGTCAATAGGGTAGCGCTGAGGTCGGGGATGGTGGTTTCGGCTCTCGGATCGGTGTTTGGGTGCGGATTTCTGATGATGGCGCTTGTCGATTTGGTTCAGATCAAGCTAGGGGTTTTGGCCTGTGGAGGTTTGTATACCTTCTCTGCGGTTGTTCCTCTGGTGGTTTTGGTCCCTTTGGGGCTCGTCATCTACCTTTTTCTCGTCCTTCATGCTTTTACTCGCTAGTGATGTAAAAGGAGTTCTTCTTCGGTGAGTTCCCGAGAAAGTTTATTACTTTGTTGTACACAGGCATGTTTTCAGTTTTCGTTAAATTGTGAAATGTGAATATTTGCATCTTGGACCTTGGAGCCCACTATGTGCCTAATTTTGTGTGATACCTTATCTTAATTGATGGCTGGGTTATTTTATGGACTGAATTTGATTATTCTGATTTATGTTTATCTTGGCTTTAGTGTTGCAAGATACAAACCAGGCTGAACCTTGTAAAAAGTTTTTTTTTGGGGAAATTCTCAAGACTATGTTAAGGTGCAGAAACTAGTAGTAGACGGTGCATTAATTTATTGTTCAAATGTTGGGAGTAGCTCTTTTAGCTTGTATGGTAAAATACTATTTTATTGGGAGTTGTCTCTTGGCAGTGAGTGACATTGGCTTCAAATGTGTTTTGCTTGGTGTATACTAAAAGGTGTAGAAACTTAAATAGGCCAAATTGAGCTGCCAAGTCAAAGGACATTTTTGTGCTGCCCATGCAAGTCTTCCTGTTCATTTTATAAGCAGTTCTTCCACTGAGATTATCGATGTCTGGGGCTTTTCTTTCTTGAACTTCTGGTGATCCATACCCATTTGCAGGTGCCTTCAGATCATGAACGAAGGAACTCTCTTGTATGACCCGGCAAGTTTTTCTTTTCAAGTCTTCTTTCTTTCATACTGAAACCAGATTGTAGTTTCTTGCTTATCATACCAAAGATTTCATCAATCAGGAATCTCTTTCAAATTTTCTTTTGATGTTGTATTCCATATCCACATTCCATGGCAAAGGATCAAGTTACTATCTTTAGTTTTCGCCGGCTCTGCTGTATCATTTTATTGTTCTCTTCATTCTCTTTCATATCATTCCTCTATTGGTGCCATGGCTATATTTTATACCAGAAAATGGATCAGAAGCAAATCCAACCGATTAACCTCCTTACATACTCTTCTGCGTGGAATTATCTCTCTTTCCCCTCAAGTTCACCACCGAAGCTTCTAAAGATCGCACTCTTTGTCAAGAAATGGCCTCATAGATCTCACGCAGGGGGGCTCGAAAGACATGCATTGACTCTGCATCTAAGACTTGCCAAACGAGGTCATGAGCTTCACATCTTCACAACTTCCCCTCCGAATTCTTCCTTCCCAAGATACCCAATAGGCAACTTACATTTTCATCTATCAAAACCAACAGCTGGAGGGTATTTGGACCAAGCTTCAGTCTGGAAGCTCTTTCAAACTCAAAACTCAACGGGAAGGCCTTTCGATGTTATACACACTGAAAGTGTTGGCCTCTTGCATACTCGATCTCGTAATCTAACCAACCTGGCGGTTTCTTGGCATGGGATTGCCTACGAAACCATTCATTCGGACATCATTCAAGAACTTCTACGGAGCCCTGAAGAACCACAGGCATATGCTTTGACAGAGAGAATTTTTAAGGTTATTGAAGAGGTGAAGTTCTTCCCGTTTTATGCTCACCATGTTGCTACCAGTGACCATGCTGGAGACATCCTGAAGAGGATTTACATGATTCCAGAAGACAGAGTTCACATTATTCTTAATGGCGTAGACGAGGAAATTTTCAAACCAGATGTTGCCAAGGGGAAGAATTTCAAGCAGAAGTTTGGCGTACCTGAAACCAGGACAATGGTTTTGGGAATGGCTGGGAGGTTGGTGAAAGATAAAGGGCATCCATTAATGTTTGAGGCTTTGAAACAATTATGCACGGGAAAGAGTCCTTGTTCTGGTAGCAGGAGATGGTCCTTGGGCTGCTAGATACAGAGACTTGGGATCTAATGTATTTGTTTTGGGGCCACTGGAACAAGCTCAATTGGCAGCTTTCTACAACGCAATAGATATCTTTGTCAACCCAACTCTTCGAGCACAGGGTTTGGATCACACTCTATTAGAAGCTATTCTATCCGGCAAGCCAGTAATGGCCACGAGGGTTGCTAGCATTGCAGGATCTGTTATTGTTGGCCCTGAAATGGGTTATACATTCTCACCAACGGTAGGTTCGTTAAAGAAGGCCCTGTCTATTGTTCTTTATGATGGCCGAGAAGCTTTGGAAGAGAAAGGTCAGACAGCTAGGCGCAGAGGTTTGCAATTATTCACAGCCACCAAGATGGCAGCTGCTTACGAAAGGCTTTTCCTTTGCGTATCAGATGGTGATGGCAATGTGGACAATTACTGCCGTTACCAAGATTCATCCAAGTAAAATATTATTTCTTTCTCAAAATTTTGATTTCTAAGGGTTGGCTACCATTTCAACTTTTGAATGGTGTGCTTTCAATTGCTGTCTAATGTGGCTACGCAATTTTGCAGCACTTGACAAAGCCTAGGGAATTGCTTTAACCTGGATTTTTGAGGATTCGCTGTAGAAAATCAGAGATTTAGAAGTTTTTTTTTTTTTTTTTTGGTAATAAATAAATGCGAGCTTAAACTTGGAAACATTTTTTGACCATTTTCTGTTTATTTAATTGATTGCTCTCTGGGTGAATTTTTCGTTAGGTGTGTCTTCTACACTTTTGTTTTCTCTGCATATCCTCTAATCGTGCCACTTTTGATTTAGTTCTAGGAAAATTTTTCTTCTTCAGGAAATTCCTAATAAAGTATAATATTGTGCATTTCAAACCTCTCATGTATATGCTCGTCATGAATGTCATGGACCTTGAAATTGCATACATTTGAAATACTATCATAGAAACTGAAGATAAACTGGAAAAATTCAACCCGCTAACAAACAACTGCGTTGACACATAAGGGAAGAAAAAGGCCAGTATCATCAGTTCATGGTCAGACACTACAGGCTCTACAAAGCATGAAAAATAGAAACTTAAGCCACTACGAAAACGTTAGCCAACCTTCAAAACGTCCCGGCCTAGTTTACAAATGAAATTCTTGTAAAACAACTGCATCGAAATAAGGTTTTGCAGTTTCTGACTAGACATGTCCCATTTCTGGCATCTGCTGCTTATTTATGTTACACATGGTTCGGGCTTAACCCAACCTTTTCAGTCTCTGCAAAATACAAAGATGAGATCTGCCCGTTTGAGCTTCTTATTTATATTGCATGTTCCCATGCTTTTAAATCAGGCATTATAAATCCCTACAAAATATAGGTTTGAGATCAAAGGATTGGCCTAGGATATGTATTTTATTTTTTACGAAATAGAAAAGAAAACATTGTTTATATTAGAAGGCATGGCAAGATGGAAAAATCTTGATCGACCAAAGATCTTTGATATTCTTTTGATAGAAGCTATACCTCGAAAAATTGTCGGAATTCATGTAGCCCTGAAGGGCAAGGTCCTAATAATAAAGCGAACCTGCAGAAACGCAAGAATTGCTCAGGATGCTAATATGGTCTAAAGCATGGTCTCAAAAAGTGAAGTACTCGTTTCTTTGTCTTAATCACCTTGCCACCAATTTCCTCGAGAAGCATCGCTCGAATTGCTTCCATTTGGATCATCTTCCCCGCCATCTTTCTTGAACTGATTTATTCACAGAGTACATACATGACTACAGTTATTTGTGTTCAATCTTTCGACTAATCATGCTGATAAAAGATATCATATCACATCATATCATGGCATTTCTGTGTCACCAGCATCAAATAATCAAGACTCACTATAGGGTACGCTGCAGAGGTTCGGGTACTTGGAGACTGGGAATAGACGTCTTGCCCACCGTAGTAAAGCGATGAACTTAGATGACATGGTTCCACTCTTTCTTCCTGAAGAACAGAACTCCTGTCCTTGTTGGGCATGCTACTGCGTGCACCTTCGCCGTTGATCACTATATAAGTTTCGGAAAAATGCAGAAGTTTGAGGCAGTATCCATTGAGGATATAATTTAATATCTAGGAATCAAACATTAATCGATATTTCTTTTTCACACCAGATCAGATTTTAGAGAGTGGGAGGAGTATGATAATAATGGAATACAGGTAGTTTACTAGAATATGTGACTGTTCTAAAAAGTTGATTCTGCAAAATTAGGAGCAAAGGAAAAGAAGTAATTTCCAATTATATCTCTCCTTTCAAGTAGGAATTTTGGTGTTTAGAAAAGATGAAAGACAGAGAAGATTTATAAACAAAGAAAATGACAGTGATCAAATACCTGAATTTCCATGTTTGGTGGTGGGCCATGCTTGATTTCCTGGGGCGTGTTTTTGCCAAGATCCTATCAGATCAGAGTTTGCTGAGTTTCTCCCTACCACCTAATATCACGCCAAATGAACCAGATAGATTATTACCAGAAAAAGAAATGAAAGAAAAGAAAAAAGGGGAAAAGGAAAACCCCAGATCGAGAAACGTGAACAGACACCATAGATGGAAACTACTAAACTTTTCCTTGTTTTACTCTACTTTTTACTTCACAAGTTACTAACTTCTTAAAGCAACACCCCCTTTTCATTCCAGGGGTAAACTACTTTTCTGTTACTTAAAAGAGTTCTATTTTAATTCTCAATGATAAAGTATTCCAGTTTTGCTTATAAAAACAAAAGGAAAGGATTTTTTTGTTAAAAGATGCTATTTTAAATGGACAATATCAGCTAGCTAATTATGAAAAAGAATTCCAGTTGTCCATAAAGCTTTTCTTTAAGGAAAAAAAAAATGTATCCCATGAAGGAAATCCTATAGCTCCATGTAAACAATATGAACACAGATACTAAGTATGAATAATATTTCATAAGCAGAATCCTTAATCTAAGAAACAACAAAACAATCAACACAAAAACACTCAAATAACAAAACTGTTGAAATTAAGAAAAGACGGTGCCTGCCTTGGATGGAGGGGGAAATATGGATGCGAAAATCCCTGCGCTTGACTGCTGAGGTGTAGACTCCTTATCACCAAAAAGCTCAGCAGTGAAAGATGAGGATGAATTATTATTCCCTTGCCTCTTACCATCCATTGTCTTCTTTCTTTCCTTCTTACTTTCTCGGAAAATCAACCAAACAAAACTCTCTCCCAAGAAAAACCGAGTTGAGATAAACAGACAAAGAGACAGGATGTGAAGAAAAGATATCTCAGTTTAGGGTGTATTGAGGGATTGTGTCACAAATCCATCAAATTTATAGCAGAAACTCAGTACTATACAAGACGGCGCTGATTTAGTGCCGCCCCATGTGCCATAATCACCCAACTGCAAAGAAAAGTGATCTCTTTTGTTAAATATTTCTATTTATATAAGATTTCTTTCTCCCCCTTTTTATCAACTGGGAAATTTCCTAACCTTTGCACTTTCCTCACATTCTATTCTCTGCGTATACAATATAATATCATCATCATCATCATAATAATAATCATCATATCAACATGATCCTCACATCATATCATATATCATCATTGTTTTCCACGACACATAAAACGGATAAGTGCCACGTGGGCTCCACATGTTGTCCCAAGGGACGAACACTGCATTGCCACGTGTACCCAAATGGATAATTTTAGACTCTCTCTCCAGCACTATTTCCATGTTCATTGCTTTGCCCTCTTAAGGCCATATATATGATATATCTATATATGTATATCTTACCCTTGTCCTTCCCCACGCAAAAGAATGGCCCCTTTCTGGGGACTGATTTTATTTGGATATACAAGTTGAAAGGGCAATAATTAATTGATGAGAAATAAAAGGGAAAACGAAAGAACTCTTGAAAGAAAATGCTTCTGATCCCACCAAGAATATATATGTAGATAAGGTTGCATCTTTTTGTGTCCAAAATAGTGGTCGGCTACTCCAACAATATATTTTAGCCATTTCCCTCTTAAAATCAAAGCTAGGACCATACTACGTAGAAAAAAACTACGTATATAGCTCGTTATGAATATGAGAAGTCATAAACATTTATACGTATATAGAACAGAATGACACAAGAATCTCTATAATATCAGTAAACTTCTAAGCACAAGAAAACAATTCTTGCGTCAGTGTCTTTTCATCTATATATCTAAATATATATTTTTTTGTTTGGATATATGTGGGAATGATTTGAAGTGGGTTTTCCTTGGATTGTAGTGAAATCTTCAAAGCAAAAGTTGGTGCAAGAAATATTACTTGTTTGAACAAGGTTAAACAGTCCTTGAGTCTATATTTGCGGCACTTGCTTTATTGGATATGATTACACTTTCATATTTGGTAACAGAAAAAACCAAAAATATGAAATAGTACTTTGATTGTGCAATAATTTGGTATAGTTAAGAGTACAATTTTATCATGATTCAATTGGGTATATATTTGTAACCTTTAAAGGCCATGATTTTTGTGTTTCAACTTTGAAGTCATTTTGTGGTTGGAATTTCAGGAGGATATAGCCAGTACTAGTCACACTAAGAAGTAAAATCAGAACTTGAGTCTGAATTAGGACTGTACAAAAAAACCGTAAAACCGAAACCAACCACAACCGACCGAAGAACCGACCGCTCAAAACCAAAAACGGCGGTGCCACGTGGAACTGAACACAATCGGTTCGGTTAACCGACCGACTCCCTAGGTCTTCGGTTCGGTATCGGTTTTGGCTTGGGCAGTGTCAGTTAAAACCGAACCGACCGAGGAAATTTTTTTTTTTTATGTTTTCATTTTTTTTTTTTAATTTTATGTTGTCATTTTGAAGATTGGATGTCGTTTTTACTCTTACAAGTCACAAAACTCAAAACTGAACCCTCTTTCTCTTAGTCTCTCTTATGCCTCTCTCTGTCTCTCACTCTCTCACCCAGACAGACACCCACCCACAACCACCCACCCTCACGCCTCACCTCTCTTACTCTCACCCACCCTCACGGAAGCCCTAGCCGCCGCCTCTCTCCTCAGTCGTCCTCACTCGCACGTCCGCCGCCGCTCGTACGTCCGCCTCTCACGGTGAAAAAAGCCCTAGCCGCTAGCCGCCGCTCGCACGTCTGCCTCCGCCAAGCTCCGCCGAGGTTTGGCTTTTGTTTCTCCACTTTCTATTTCCATCAATCAAGCTTGGTCGATTGGATTTATATATGCCGTTGCGTTTGATTTTGGATTTATATATGCCACAGAATTTATGGAAGGAAACATATTGATATTGTGACTAAATTGGATTTCTATTTGCTATTTCACAATGACTAAATGTTAGAATGGAATTCTGGGAAATGGGGGAAAAATATAAAAGGAACCATTGTCTGTAATCTATATGGGAGAGTTTATGTGAATTTTGGAGAGGTTTTTGCTAGGTGAGCATGGCGGAGAGACTGGAGAGAGAAGACGACGGACTCGGACGGTGTCGTTTTGGGATTGAAGAAAGGGGAATTGGGAAATTATTCTTCAGAGCAGAGGGTGAAACCGTGAAAGGGGATTGAAGAAAGGGGAATTGAGAACAGGTTTGGATTTGGAGTTTGGACGGTTGGACACAACTCATTTTTTTTCCCTTTTTTTTGGGATTAAAAGAATCTAGAAACAAGGGTTTAGATTAGATAAGATGCTAGAGAAAATCAAATAGGGGTAGAATTTGATGAGAGTGAAGTATTCATATTCACAATAGCTCTTCAATCCAAGGAATTCCTTGGCATTACCAAGGTTTGGAAGTGAGGGAATGTGAGAGAGAGAGAGAAAGAAGGAGAGTTTTTAGTGAAGAAGTGGGTGTGTTTGTTTGGGTTTTTAGTGGTTAGAAAGTAGAAACCTAGAGCAATACCAACCAAAAGGAAACATAGGACAAGGATAGGATTTTGGATTTAATGCATTGTGTACAATTCGAATCTCCATATCCTCTCTCTCTCTTTTCCTCTCTCTTATTATTCACATGCTATTACTGGGCATTTATAAAGAAGATTTATATTGCAAGCATGTTCTAATTCTGGTTTTGTGTTTGGATTTATGCCACAGCAAGAAAGCTTAATTCTTATAGCTTAATAGTTAATACAAATAGATAGATAATTAGATATAATAAAAGTTCATCATTAACATCAACAAGAAAGCATGTTGTTTGTGATTGTTTAACTTTTAGCTTAATTCTTATAGATGTCTTCATCGGAAAAGCAAAAAGAGATAGAGTCTCAATCTAGTCAAAAAGAAACCGAAACTACTGAAACACAAGAGACAACTGAGGAAGAAGGGAAATGTACTAAGAAAAGGAAGAAAGTCCGACAAGTAAGCCCGGTTTGGCAACATTTCACGAGGGACAAAAAAACCAAGCGGGCTACTTGCAAGCATTGTGGTGTCACTTATGTCGCTAATTCGAATAAGAATGACACGTCTACAATGAAAAGTCATATAGAAAGTTGCTTGATGAATCCAGAGAGTGAAAACAAACAAAAGACCATCCAATTTAGTAGAAAGATCGGAGCACATGAGGAGGACACTGCTACTAGTACTATGACACTAAGAGCTTGGTCCAAGGAGGGTTATAAGAGAGTCGTTTCGGAGTACATCGTATTGGATGAGTTATTGTTCTGACACGTGGAAGGTAAAGGGTTTAAGCGCTATTCGGCGTACTTGAATCCTAGAGTGTTTGACATTTCAAGGATAACAATTGCGAGGGATGTTTATCAAATATTTTTGGAGGAGAAGAAGAAGTTGAAGAAGGTTTTAGGAAAGTAACGGGTGTGTTTGACGACTGATACTTGGACATCAATTCAGAACATCAATTACATGTGTTTGACCGCACATTGGATCGATGAAAATTGGAATATGCAGAAAAGGATCATTAATTTCATCCAAGTTCCGAATCATAAAGGAGAAACAGTTGCACATGAGATTTTAGTTTGCCTTAATGATTGGGGCATAACTGCATTGTTCATAGTTACAGTGGACAATGCATCGTCCAATGATGTGGCTATGGACAGGTTGAAGAGAAAAGTCAAAGATATTCCTAATTTTCTCATCTTAGATGACCAGGCGATACATATGCGGTGTGTCTGTCACATTCTAAACTTGATTGTTAATGATGGACTCACGGACTTAGCATATTCTATTACAAGCATCCGCAATGCAGTTAGGTATGTGAGGTCCTCACCTCAACGCCTCAAGAAGTTTAAGGAGTGCATGAAGGAAGAAAACATCAACTCAACTGCCCTATTATGTTTGGATGTGAACACGAGGTGGAACTCTACCTACCTAATGTTGGAGACTTCTTTCAAGTTTGTCCCCGTTTTTGAGAGGTTGCTTTTGGATCAAAACTATTGTGCTTACTTTGATGAACTTATAAAAGACAAAAAGATATAGGGTCCACCAAATGAGACGGATTGGGACAATGCACGGGTTTTTTTGAGGTTCTTAGGCAAGTTTTACACTTTGACAAAGAAGTTTAGTGGTTCATATTATGTCACTTCAAACTTCTATTTCAAAGATATTTGTGCTATCAAACGAGAGTTGATTAAGTTAGAGGAGTGTGATGATCCTATGTTGAATGAAATGGCAACGATGATGAATAAGAAATTGTTGGTTGCCGAATCGAATTCGGCTGCGGAAGCATGGAAAAAGACGGATCGTGTATAACAAAAATTTCATAAAAACTTTTGAGATACTCTATAGATTATATTAATTTATGCACGAATAAATTAATCACATTAATTTATATATCAAGAACTCAATCAGGAAAAATACCTGGAAGCTGACTCGGATGATAACTTGAGTTCTTTGACCACGAACAGTCCTTGCTCCAAGCTTTGTGTTTAGAATACCAAAGTCTTCCACGTCGATTCCTTGATTCCACGTAGACGTGTGTGTGGGTACACGTGAGACAAAACAGGTTTCTGAAACACTCGAATTTTCACAAACACCAACGCATGCACGATGTGGAATTTTTGGAGAAAAAATTTTCCTCTCTTTTTTGCTATGAGAAATCCGGCCACCACTAACTCTTAGGGCTGAAAATTATTTTCAAAAATTGTGTACACAATTTTCTATCATTCTCATATTTAAAGAGTAGAAGTCAAACTTCAAAACAGAATTAAATCCCTATCTCCAATTTTGAATTTGGAACAAAAAATCCCTTCCCTTTATCCATTT